TTTGTACATAGAACTAGCAATAGTTAGAGACACCCAGGGCTCACCCCCTGGCGGCCTTTGCCCTGATCAGGGATAGTGGAAAACGTGCAAGTCACGAGCCACGGCCGTAAAATATACACACACACACTCTTCTTCTCTTCCCTAGCTTAGTATCTCTGTATCTACGAGCCAACAAGATCATGATCATTTTCATTGATTTCTCATCGATATCCCTTACGCATCTCCCTGCCGTCACGATACCCCTCTATATGGTCACGAATAGAAGTTAGCTAGCTAGGTCTTCGCTCTGTGGGATCCTCCTAGTTATCTACATGCGATCACCCATATTACAGACACTGAGCCTTTGTACACATTACATGCCTAGTAGGCTTTGGCCAAAGTAGTAGTGGCTTTTCTATTTCTGAGACAAGAAAAAGCAAAAGGAAAGGACCAAGACCCCGAGGGCTGATCCAGAGCTCAAGCTATTATCCCAATATTATGGGGGCCTTGCTCTTGTTGCTCAGACACCATGGAGTCCCTAAGACCTTTCAAAAATTGCGCCACTCGCTGATGATTAGCGTAGATCGCCAAACTTAACGCAGTCCGGCGATAAGGATCCAGAATCCAGGGGTCTCCTCCTTTCTCCACTAGAAATTTCACACAGTCCAATGACCCAGCAAGTGCGGCGTAGTGAAGCGGGGTACCAAGGCCTGCCCTGAAATTCATCGCGAAATCATGGGGAGAATCTTGGTCCAGCAACTTGTTGACATTCATGGCATTTGCCTCTGGATTTTTGCCGTATATGAATCTCAAGACCTTTAAGCTGTCTGTTTGGTCGCGCTTTGCAGCATAGTGCAACAACTGGCCTTGATCGGCCGATCCCCCATACCTGAAGAGTATCTCGATAGCTTCAAATGAAGCTCCTGCAACCGCATAAGACAGAGGGGTACAGTCCCGGATTTGACATCTTTTATTTGGATCCGCGCCATGCTCCAAGAACCATGTGAGAAGCGTCACGTCGTCAAGAGTGTACCTAGGTGATGTTAGTCAATGATGCCATCATAAGGAACTCGATGGTAATTACACAAGTGCCGATGGTGTAAGTGTATCAACATCAGCGTTGATATCCCAACCACGACTAAGGAACAATTCAAGGATATTATAAAGCTTCATCTGCGTCGCAATAACGAAGTGCTCAATAACCATCGGAGCTCCTTGGTCTAACAACCCAACGGCATTGTCAATATTGCCATCAGTGATGGAAATTCGAATTTCTTTTGTAAGGTTCCTCATTTTAGCTTCGAGCAAGAAATTGTAAAAGATTCAAAGTTAGGAAGTCATAGAGATAGAGAGATGGAAGGGTCCTAAGAGTAACTTGAGGGCATTGAGAATGGTAGCCCCTGATTTGGCTGGTGTCGTAGATATCAGCTTACTCATTACGCCACAACTGTTCCTCAGGCATCAGCAAGTATCAAAATATGACATATGTATATGAATCTATATATATATGGCCAAGGAGACGAAGAGTACAAGTTCTCCCAGTGTCATCCATGAAGAGGGTCATTGTGTTGATCGGCCCGATGATCTTGTCGGTCCAAAATATATAAATTTTCGTATCTCGCCCACTTGTGTACGCTGCAGCTTTATATAAATATGCTGATATTATGTTGTGTACTAGGTATTCAACATACTTATGAATTAAATGAAAAGGAATTACTTTACGCTTAATTTGCTCCGCAGAGTAACCATACATCCTACAAATTTCTCCTGTTGGGTGCGTAAGTATATTTCGAGAAACGAAGTCTTGCTACCCATCCAACCATTCTTTTGTTTTGAGGTTACCGCATACCTTCTGGTGACTTTGGCCCGAAATCGCTCGATGGCTGGAGATTCTCAGAAAAAGGATCCTCTTCCTGCATACTGGTCCAGGCTAGATTTGCGTTCCAAATCATCTCCTGCTTGGTCTCGTGGTTACTGATCTAGGCAGCGTAAACAGCATGCTCGCGTCTCAATCGTCGTGGCATTGGCAACTTGGATGCTGATATTTCGTCGAGAAATTCTGCGATAACCCAGCCTGCTCTATACACAGAGGCCTTGGGATGTATGAAATGTCATCATGGAGCTCCCGACACATACCAAGATGTTTAAACAGTAAGCCATGGATCTGGCATGATTCCATCCCCTAATCCCCACTACTCTGAAGAAGTGGGGAGAAGTGGGAAGAAGTGGGAAAATCAAAAGTCAAATATTTCCCCACCTTTATCCTTCGCGTCAAGACATATCATCCTGCCTTTCCCACTTCTATCAACTTCATCCAAAGACAAAGCAATATGAGGCATTGAAGAATGGAAACCCCACCAGGTCCTCAAGCCCCTAGCTCAAGCACATCCAAGCGCTTCCACTGCACTAGATGCAGCAAGTCTTACACTAAACTCGAGCATCTGCAGGTACGTGGCTGCTCCACTAAGTGCTTTCCCCGACTAATCAGAGCTATAGAGACATGAAAGAACACGTAAGTGGTTTCTCGGAATGTTGAACAAGAGATACTGATATACCAGACTCAAACTCGAGGCCCTTTCGATGTCACGAATGCGGCAAAGGATTTGGACGCCAGGACGTTCTCGGGAGGCATGTGAGACTGCACTCCAACACGCAGTTAAGGAATCGGCCCTCTGCTCCTTTGTCCAGGAACTTTTCACCAAATCTTAATGTCGAAGCTCTACAAGAGTACACAGAGTCGAGAACGGCTCGCCACTCAGCCGGCACCACTGCATTTTCTACTGGCGATGTCGCTACCCACAATACATTCCATGACTCCGACGATCTGCTGAACTGGTTGCTACCAGAGCTAAGCGACAGTCCCGTTGTTCCCCTGCCTCTGGCCGATTGGTCTGGACTTGAAACACCATCTGAAACATTACTGGAGTATCCCACTGTGGATGATCGACTGCACCCGCGACCCGAGATCGGCAGTATCCAGCAGGTGTTCAAATTGATACATGATACCTCGAAGCGATTGAGTTCTGACTATGATGGCAAAGGGATCACTGTCGACTTCCTTGATGCTTGTTTACACGAGTACTTTGAACGTATAGCCCCGTCTTTCCCCGTGATTCACGAGCCAACATTCTCGTCTCAAAAAGCTATCCCGCCCCTCCTTCTCAATATGGTTGCCTTGGGGTCATTGTTTGTATGCATGCCCAATGCGATGGCCAAAGGGGAACTGCTCTGGAGGCTTGGACATACTGCGGTGGCAACGTCATGGCAGACTCTCATCGGTCTACGGGGGCCGCATGATAGATGTGAAGGGGTGCAGCTGGTACTGACGGCGTTGCTCGGTCAAACATACGCTTTAGCCTCGTCCAACCCGGATATCAGATCCACCGCATTTATATTCCATGGACTGGGCTTTTACTGGGCAAGAACACGCGGAATGTTTTCGCTCGACGAGAGACCTTTGTCAATGCCAGAGGACGATGCACCACCGCAGGAAAAGCAGGTTGCGTGGGAGAGGTGGGCCGCATCAGAAGTCCAACGCCGTGCGGTGCTTGGACATTATATCTTGGATGGCTTTATATCGCAGGCATCAGGCTGTCCGGCCAGTGTTCGGCATCTCGTCAACAGGATAGGGGCTGCGTGTTCGGATGAGGCATTTGCTGCGCGATCCGCAGACAACTGGGTCGTAGCAATGTCAAGAGCAGATATGGCGCAGCTATCCATGGCCGCCATCTATACACGGATTTTCCAATCGGAGTCTCCCAACGGATTAGCCAAGATATCTCCGTTCTGTGTCTCTGTGATACTCGAGGGGCTTCTCTCACTGATCTCCGACACAGAAGTAGACGAGTCGTCATTTGGCCTGATCTCACGACTGGAAATTGTCCAGGCATTACTCAATGTCTACCAGACATATACCCTACCTGCAATGTCCTCCGGCACGGCAAATGCGTATAATATCATGATCCGGTGGCATACAGTCTGTATAGAAATTGCCGCCCCACTGACACCACTATACAATGCATTGCGTGGGACATTTGAAATACCGAATCAGCTGGCAGGCGTCCCAGCAACATCCTCAGCCAGACCGCTTCATCTCGCAGAATGGGCCAGAGGAACAGATGCTATTCGAGCCCTTCTGCACGCAACAGCCATTATTCGGCTCCTCCGGACTATTCCTCTTCACCAGACCAATGCCGTGCACATACCGACAGCGATATTTCAGGCCGCATTGGTCCTCTGCAGTCTTCCTTTGCATGGTACCAACGTACTTGAGATTCCCGAGGCTCCTCCGTGGCGTGATGTATGGGACGAATCTCGCGTTGAGAAGCCGATGACCGCGTTCGAACTTTTGTACAAACTACAATGCGCTGAATCGATGACTTGTGTGAATCTTTCATGTGAGATAAACTTTTTGCAGCTATGTCTCCGGACGGCTGCCTCGCGCTGGGGGATATCCGAGTCTATGGAGGTGATAGTCGCGCATTTAGCTGGCCTCACGCGCAGAGGTCAAGGTTCGATAGCATGATCAGTGACAGGCAGTCGGCGTGATGGGGAATCATCTGTTTCTTTTCTCCTGGGACCACCGCTCTATCCGCTAGGACCCTAAGTTGGGCTTCAGGATCTTATGAAATGCCATTCCAGCTCACCGTATGGGCAGAGGCCGTTGCTCACGTACAAAAGACCAACCTTATGCGTCTTCTAACATGGTCGTACGGTTTTTCAGGCAGGTACGGACTTTGGGCCGTGACAGGCGGATGAACCCCGCGATAAGGCGATCCTTGCCGGCAGACTGCTGACGTGCGTGAAGCCATCGTGGCTGCTGAGTGGTGCGATGGCAATCTGGTAGGCTTCCCTCTATTGCTGAGATGGGTCTGACCAGTCACGGGTATAATATCTGCATGTTAGGCAGTAATGACCTCTTTTACCAGTTTGGTTCTTGCTAGATTCCTCCTATGGGTTATAGAGGTGCTGTTCTTCCTAGGGGTGATCATGTTAATGTGTGTGTATAACTTATACCTTGTATGCGAGTGTAGCTGATTATATAGGTCGGGTTGGTATACAAGGCAGGAGGTATGTCTGCAGTCTTCCGCCATCTCAAGAAATAACAATCAAACAAGCTGAGTAGTCGAGTTGCCGGAGCGCTCGGCCATTGCGACCGCCAACATTATCGGTAACACAGCCTCGATCTACGGCAGTTATATATGGCCTTCATCGTCTGGACCAGAGGTATTTCCCGGGGGCAATGCGATGGGGGGTTGCGGTTCTGGTGGCAGTGCGACCTGGTGCATTCCAGAATGAACAAGTGGCTGGAGTGGAGAATCCAGGTTTGATATCCATTCTATCTCAGTCTTCTTAGTATTGAAAACACAAGTGACAAAAAGTGCTGCTGAATAGTGCTGCCTGGGGGCTATGCATAATTTACCCGAAGCAGCAAATGAAAAATGTCACTGCCTAATGCTCAGCTCCGACAACAACACATCCTCTGTGAATCAGCCCTAGATGACCCACATTCCCGCGGGCACCGAGACCTGAATGATTGGCAGATCTTCTGGAATTCCCACAGTTTGTTCTCTGCAGCCATCTGATTTGTTGGGAGCGTCCAGCGGCGGATGGGTCGATGATGATTTACGGCTCTCCCGGAAGTATGTCCCCGTTGCCGAGAACCGAGTATATCTACTACGTCAATCTTTGTTATCCTTCATGTTGGAAATGTTCTCTTCTTCAGAACAGTGGGAGGCGTCGACATGAAGGCCATTTTCACCCTTCTAACGGCCCTGGCCGTAACCACGGCGACTCCTCTCGACCTGTCTATCCGAGCCCTCCCCAACGCCCCTGATGGCTATACTCCGGCGAACGTGTCCTGTCCAGCTACACGACCCAGCATTCGGGGTGCAGGATCGCTTTCTCCGAACGAAACTGCCTGGCTCGAGATCCGTCGCAACAACACCGTCCAGCCTATGAAGGACCTGCTAGGGCGGCTCAACCTCACCTCTTTCGATGCCGCGAGCTACATCGACCGCGTGTCGAGTAATGCATCCAACCTGCCGAATATCGCGATCGCTGTTTCGGGGGGTGGATACCGGGCTCTGACCAATGGAGCTGGAGCTATAAAGGCCTTTGACAACCGAACAAAAGGCTCGACGGCATCTGGACAGCTCGGGGGTCTACTGCAGGCGGCAACATATGTATCCGGACTGAGCGGAGGAGGATGGCTGGTGGGCTCTGTGTATGTGAACAACTTCACAACCATCTCAGACCTCCAATCTGGAGACAATGGCGACGTATGGCAGTTTTCCACGTCTATCCTGGAAGGCCCTAAGGCCAAACACCTGCAGTTCCTGTCCACGGCCGACTACTGGAAGAACCTGCTCGAAGCAGTCGACGGTAAAAGCAACGCGGGCTTCAACACCTCGCTAACGGACTACTGGGGCCGCGCTCTGTCCTACCAATTCATCAACGATCCGACCGGCAACGGCGGGCCAAACTACACCTGGTCGTCCATCGCGTTGACCAACTCCTTCCAGCGCGGCGAGATGCCGCTCCCCATCCTGGTCGCGGACGGCCGGAACCCGGGCGAGCTGCTGATCGGCAGCAACTCGACCGTCTACGAGTTCAACCCATGGGAGTTTGGCTCGTTTGATCCCTCTATCTTCGGCTTTGCGCCGCTCGAGTATCTCGGCTCGCGCTTCGACAACGGCCAGCTCCCCAGCGGCGAATCCTGCGTGCGCGGTTTTGATAATGCAGGCTTCGTCATGGGCACCTCCTCCTCGCTCTTCAACCAGTTCATCCTGCGGCTCAACACGACCGACCTCCCGGACCTGGTCAAGGAGGCCTTCTCCAAGATCCTCACCGCACTGGGCCAAGACGGCGACGACATCGCCGTGTACGGCCCCAACCCGTTCTACGGGTATCGCAATTCCACGGCATCATACTCGCAGAGCCGCGAGCTCGATGTCGTCGACGGCGGCGAGGACGGCCAGAATATCCCCCTGCACCCGCTCATCCAGCCTACCCGCCACGTCGACGTGATCTTCGCGGTTGACTCCTCAGCCGACACGGAGTACAACTGGCCGAACGGGTCGTCGCTAGTCGCGACCTACGAGCGAAGTCTGAATAGCTCGGGAATCGGCAACGGGACGGTCTTCCCTGCTGTGCCGGACGTGAACACCTTCATCAACCTGGGGTTGAACACTCGACCTACCTTCTTCGGGTGCGATCCCGCGAATCTGTCGGCGCCGGCGCCGTTGGTGGTTTACCTGCCCAATGCGCCATACAGCGCGCAGAGCAACACGTCGACCTTCCAGCTGTCGTACTCGGATTCCCAGCGGGATGAGATCATCACGAATGGGTATAACGTGGTGACGCGGGGGAATGGAACCGCCGACAAGTCCTGGCCGAGCTGTGTTGGGTGTGCCATTCTACAGCGGTCGCTGTATCGGACGAATACATCTATGCCGGAGGTGTGCAACAGTTGCTTCAAGGAGTATTGTTGGAACGGAACAGTGGATAGCTCAACTCCTGGGACATATGAACCGAGCCAGGTGTTGGGGAGTAAGTCTACTTCTGCAGCAGACAGGACAGCATACAGGGAAGGATTGAACTGGCTGGTAGGCGGGTTTGCGGTGGGGTTGGGAATGTGGATGGCAGTTTAAGGCAGATGATATTGTAAATGTATCTCATTCGGGCGTATGAGTGGATGTACATGGTGTGACTGTTGGTTATTTGACGCCATTATATATCATCTGGACCAACGGCATTCATAGGATAAGCTGAGATGACGAATAAAAGGCATGACCGTTGTCATTTGTACACTTCTCACTGGCATATCTCTTTAATTCTACGGAGATAATCGAAGGCGTGATCTTGCTGCATTTCTCGTCATATAGCACCTTCTTTCTGTCAGCACAATCAGCATGTGCTCAGAAATATAAATACAACCCTTCTTCCCGAGATAGACCACCGAAGCCTCACTACCCAGTAGACCAAAGAGAATGCCCTCCTTCATCAGCCTCACCTTCCCCAATCCCTCCACGGAACTACATCCCATCCCCAATGCCGGCGTTGACACCGACTTTCTCATCCGCTACGCCCGCACCCTCGACGACTACGGCTTCACCCACACTCTCGTCCCGTACGACTCCTCATCTTTCGACCCCTTCACCATCGGCGCCACCATCGCCTCCGTCACCAAAAACCTGAAGATCATCATCGCCCTGCGCCCCAACACCCTCTTCCCAACCGTCGCCGCAAAGGCCCTCGCGACACTCGACCAGCTCAGTCACGGCCGGGTGGTCGTGCACCTCATCGCCGGCGGCAGCGACGTCGAACAAGCGCGCGAGGGCGACTTCCTATCGAAGGAAAAGAGATACGCACGGCTGGAGGAGTACATCCTCATCCTCCGCCGGGCATGGGAATCCCCCGACGCATTCGACTGGGACAGTGAGTTCTTCCGGTTCAACGGGTTCAGTAACCGCGTTCGACCGGTCAACAAGACCATCCCCGTCTCCGTGGGTGGTTCCTCGGACGAAGCGTATCGAGTGGGCGGCAAGCTAGCCGATATCTTTGGGCTGTGGGGGGAGCCCTTGAAGGAGACGAAGGAGCAGATTGACCGGATCTACGCTGAAGCCGAACAGGCCGGCAGGAAGGAGGACGATAGGCCCAGGATATGGGTGACGTTTCGGCCTATCGTGGCGGAGACGGAGGAGCTGGCGTGGGCGAGGGCGCATCGTGTGTTGGAGGCGTTGCAGGCGAATGCTGGTGGGAGGAAGAGCGCGCCACCGCAGAATGTCGGGTCGCAGCGGCTTTTGGAGATTGCGGCCCGGGGTGAGGTGCAGGATCGGGCGTTGTGGTATCCCACTGTGACGGCGACGAATGCACGCGGGGCATCGACGGCGCTGGTAGGATCGGTCGAGACGATTGCGCAGTCGCTGGTGGATTATGTGCGGTTGGGGGCGGAGTTTCTCTCGATTCGGGGATATGATAACTATAATGACGCTGTGGATTATGGGAGGTATATTCTGCCTAGAGTGAGGGAGATATTGGCGGAGACTGTATCCAACTAGGAGGAGGGAAACAAAAGCCACTTCTATTGTGATATGTTGATTTGGAGCATGTGCGTGCTTAAGCCTGGCAGAAGACTGGATGATATTATGACAATATGGAACTATTCCCACCATGTTGATGTACATCCTCGACTCGCAAGTGAATATCAACGATAGTACGGCTTCCCAGATCAGTGACCTCCTATTCAACCCTGACTCGCATGAACTTTGCAAGCTGTTAATGGCAACTTCCAACAGGGCACTCTGGCTACTGACCATCTAGCGAGATCGACAACTTCGACTGTCATGGACTGCCCAGACATCCGATCCCACTGTACGACGAGTTATGCATTCCCTGTTCTACCCTACTATAACAAACCCAATGATTGGCTAATAGCGGCCAGACAGAATGATTCCCTACTTCACTGCATGCTACAAGGTACCCGCCTACAATTATCTCCTCTACGTCTAAGAAGGAAGATACGTCCTCAAACATCGACTCATTCCCCGGGGAGTGAGATGCGAGCCAACCAATACGTGATCCACCCCACCCCAGGGTCTTAAATTAATGGTACAGTCGAATAGGCTGCCAGGAAATCAATTAGGTTGGGTGGACTGCGGTCACGTTCTAGTCCATGAATGTGTTAGACACCATATTCTCAGGATAGGAGAAGGATCAGAAGATGATAAGAAAAGTACTACCGTGCCTTAGGAGGATCCATAGCACACGGTCCTCCTCCTGCTAGCTATATGGCAGAGGCACTGGCACCTATCACGCACCTCAATCCATACATCCTGCAAAATGGGCACGAGGTCCTTGTCTCATAGTCTAACGAATAAGATCAAAAACACTACTACTGTTCAGTGAAGGCAATTGCTGATCCTTTGCTTAGGCCACACAATGGAATTCCTCATGCCGAAGTCTTCCCCCGCGGCTGACATTGTATTCTTCGTTTAGGCCGCACGATGGCATCTATTGTGCTGAAAGTCATCGACCCTATGTTTGAATGTTACACTTCGCTTAGACAGCAGAATGAGATGGCTGAGTTCATCCCTTCTAGGCCCAAGGTAATGTGCCTGTTCATAGCTAGAACACTGTCCTATTTTACTGTTGTGCACACCTATGGCTAAGGCTGGGTGGAAGATGCAAGGATGTCAGGCTCGGACCTGCGCTTGTTGATATCGAAATGAAGTGGTAAGATTACGGAGAAAGTAGTAAAGGACTTTTGTTGTAGCCGTTGTGATTATCCTGTGCGTTTGGTTCCACAACATCTGAAACCAAACCCTCCTTTACTTCGACAAAACACCCAGTAAAGTGATATATCAGTAACTTATTCAATGTCTTCGCCTGAATACTCGAAGCGCCTGACGGCTCTCTGAAAGACAAACATTGCTTGAAACAAGTCTATATTCCCAGACAAGCTAGGTGGTTCAGGCCTTGAGAAGTTTGCTTTCACACATTTCCTGAAACTCTTTATGACAGGGGCAGAATTCCCGGATAAGAATGTCAGCATGTTGCCGGTTGACATAAGTGTGTGTGCCTTTTGCTCAGGCCGCATGGTTCATGATCTGCTTAATGTGCCTCTAAATATGACTGATCGTCAGCACTACTGCATATCAGTTTCTCGGCATGACTATTCCGCAGATCAAAGGAAGCGTCCTTGTATGGTCCAATTAAGTATGACAATTGCTCCTCGGAAAATACCATGGCTTTCTGTATCATAAATGGGACCGGTACTTTCGGCCGAGAGTGAGCCAGTACCTTGATAGCGTTCAAAGGAGGAGAATGATACTGTATATTAGGAACTGGAGAATGAGATATTCTACAAATCAGGCTGACTTATAAAACCATCCTCTAGGTTTTAGTATGTTCTGAACAGCAGAAAAAACCGCAACTGTCCTCCATCGGCCGAATTGAGATCACCTCTGGTCATGGGAAGAGCCCAAGAACTGAAATCAAGCCAACCAGAAAGGCGAACAGACTAGCCAGAATACCGGAGTGGCCGTGGGTAGCACAGAAATCGTATGATACCTTGGATAGTGTTGAGTAAGGGCGAACCGACGATGTCGAGGGTCAGGAGGTCAGTAAGCTTAGGACGAGTATGGCCAACCTTTGTGGCCAGGCTCACATGGAATGTCACAATATTGGCATTGGAATCTTTCATGGAACATAGACCATCCATTACAGAATCTCCTTGCTGAACCTAATATTCCATAGTGGTGGCAGTGAGTGAAGGAAAGGGGATATATAAAGGCGATGCCATCTCACTCTTAACCAGTTCAGATAACTACAGACACCATTGGGATTATATTGACTACTCAAGAATTATCCTCTTAAGCCGGTACACAATGGTTAAAGTACTGATAATCTTCGCAGTTGCGTTTGGTGAGCTTCCAATTCCGTCTACCATGCTTCAAGTTTAAGCTAACCATGGCTTAAATAGCAACTTTTATAAGCACGTCATGGGCCCAAGCTTGCTCCCCAGCAGTAAGTCAGATAATCGCTATTCTGAATGCCCGTGACTAATATGATACTATTCCAAAGTGCCCTGCTGGCATGACTTGCTGCAGCGGAGTTTGCAGACTACTGTCTGTAGATACTCAAAACTGTGGAACATGTGCTCGTACTGTATGTATCTCTACTTGCTCAACATGAGGGGTTACTGATAATGTTTATATAGTGCCCAGCTGGCGCGATCTGCAGCAATGGTGTTTGTGCCTGCGTTGCTAATAATAACCAGGCAACCTGTGGAGGAAAATGTGTAGGTGCAACTACTCTAAGCTATATGGAATTCCTGGCTGATATTATCTGGAAAGTGTGCATCTGGTCAGACATGCTGCAATGGCGTCTGCACTACTCTAACAACAACATCTAACTGTGGAACATGTGGCAACGCTGTAAGTCATATCATAATATTCACCATAACATTTTTATTAATCCCCTTCTATAGTGTTCAACAGGTCAAATCTGTTGCAATGGAGCTTGCACAACATTGACTAGCAACACTAACTGTGGATCGTGTGGAAACGCTGTAAGTCAGCACCTACCATATTCAAACGACATGAGCAATTCTAATATAGATAGTGTCCTACCGGTTCAACCTGCAATTCTAATGGTGTTTGTATTTGTAGTAGCACTGGATTGCCTCCATGCAACGGACAGTGTGTAAGTAGATTCCCAGTCTCCCATCCTTTATAGCAACATGACCAACTGACATTATACTGGCTGATAGTGTTCAGCTCCTAGTCTTGCGTGCTGCAATGGGGGCTGCACTAACTTACAGAGCACTGACGGCGGTTGTGGAACATGTAACACCATAGTATGTCTTACTATTGGAAGTTCTCAATACCAACTACTGTTATGACTGACTAGATGACTTTAACAGTGTACATCAACTCAGGACTGCTGCAGCGGGACTTGCACTGACACTACTACCACCACTAACTGCGGCACATGCGGCAATGCTGTGAGCCTATTGCCTCTTTTATTGCAAAGTGATAACTAATCTTGCCTTCTTAATAGTGTGGGACAGGTGAGAGCTGCTGCAATGGGGTCTGCGTTAATGAGAATACCGACACCTCGAACTGTGGAGCATGTGGTACTACTGTGAGTCTGCTTACATCCTTGAATAATATTTGCCTGTATAGCTGATTTTATACACTTAAAGTGCACATCAGGCCAAGGCTGCTGCTCTGGGACCTGCGCAGACTTAACCACTGGCACAAACTGCGGAACATGTGGTACTGCTGTAAGTCATCCGCGTCCTCCTGTTACCTAGAATAACACGGCATTAATTGTGGATTATTGATAGTGCCTTGGTGGTTCAACCTGTACTGGTGGTTCTTGTGTCTGTCCTGACACTACATTGCCTCCATGCGGCACCAGCTGTGTAAGTTATGCTTATTTCCTCGACGGTAGAGCAGGGCGCTGACTTTCGGTTACATAGTGTACTGATGGTACTCTTGCGTGCTGCTCCGATACTTGCACCAATACTCAGGCTGACGCTGCTAACTGTGGTACATGTGGCAATGCTGTAAGTCAGCCTGTTGATTTTTATCGCCTCATACACGAGGCCCAAACTAAATTGCTACTTCCCACAGTGCACTGGAGGCACGCCCAACTGTGTCAATGGGGTTTGCTCTGCGTAGTGAGATTCAGAGAATCAGTAAGTTGGCTCATGATGTCAGAAGGTTGATCTACATATTAATTCACAATCCATAGTTTCCACGGAATTCAACATCCGTCCGAATATTCTATGGGGGATAGGGTAAATGAGTTCAACCTCATTAGCACTTTCTAGCCGCGCTCATTTCAACATGAAGTAATCAGGAATATCAGTTGTTTTGCTATTGATGGTTGCTTACTATGTCTGCTACTTTTCTCATGCAATGCTTTTGATGGTGCCAGTGAGCTCAACCTCACAGGTAAACGCTCTCTAACATCTCGGTTTTCGATTTACATTGATAATCATATCTGAGACTACTGAATGACAAGTTATTACGCAATTAAGAAATTAGCCACATTGATAAATCAAGCTAGGGGTTTTATCTTCCCATAGAAATCAAGCCACAACTCTGGCAGGTAGTTAACTTTCGCCCGAGCAGAGAACATGGAGATGGCACATCTATGTCTCTAGAAATTGTTAATCAAGAAGGGAATTACCTACTTGTCAAGGGTCCTTTCAATGAACTTTGACTAATTTCCAAGTGTGGCCTCCTGCAACACTAGGTTGCAAAGCTGTCGGAATAATACTTCTCAAGATGATACTTAGCCCTTATTACAAGCACACGGTTCCGCAGATCATCTTCTGTAGTTCCATTCCATAGCCGCTGTTTATAGTAGATAAGTTTGAAAGCTAAGTGCAAGTGCTCGAACCACTTCTCATCTAAGTTTCCTTGGGCAGGAAGGCTCTTTATTTTGCTCTAACAACCCGCAGCTACTACCATGTCTAAAACGCCGAACTACAGCGAAAGGAAAGCATAATGCAGCGAGAACACTGATGAGAGATATCAGGATGCCT